AGTTGGATTTTTTTTCCTGACTCCATTCCCATCACACAATATATTTGCTTTCACTGTGCAGAGGAAAAAAACCCAAGATAAACACCATTTATGAGGTGTAAATCTGATCCTTTGCTCTGCTCTGAAGCCTTGGCATGAGGATATTGTGGCATTGTGATTGAGGGACATTGTGGGAGAAAGCCAAGAAATTGAGATGCAGAGATTGTTGAGAACTCTTGCCAGTGGGAAAGTAACCCTCTCCCAAGCTCAGCATTCAAAGAAGTTGCAGAATGGAAGTTTGACAAGAAGCTGTGTTGAGCTGCATGTGAACCAGAAGTTACCTGAGTCAGCTGCCCAGTGTTACTAATGGAAGAATTCAAGGGCAGAGCAGCCATCTTTGAGTGATACCAGAAGCATCTTTGAAAGGGCCCTAAAAATATCCCAGAAGAAACTCCTAATTTAAAGGAAACTACAGGGAAAGATTTGAGAAGAAATCCTGATTCAAAACTTCTACACATTTCAAAGTGGGGATAGAAAACTGTGTAGCTGGGAGTCTGTTTTTCTTAAAATATTAAAATGCAGGGGACAGACTTAAACCAAAATAGGGACAGTATTAGCGTTCATGGTATGGATTTTGAATCTTGTTATTCTAGTAATCCTTAATGAATACATAAAATAAAACAATATTTACACTAAAACTTCCAAAGCGAAAATAAGCTAGGAAATGTTCCTTAGCTCTGCAGCCATGTAGCAATTTGAAAGCTTTATTTGCATATAGCACAATAAATCTAAGTCCGAAATCTAATTTTGCTTCAGATCTCCACTTCCAAACACTTTGGCTGCTGTGGATTAAGCTCTATCGTGATTTTAGCATTTTTAATAATACTGGACTTTGTGTGCACATTTTTACATGATATTTAACTTCCAGATGTCGTATGCCTCAAAGCTAAAATATCAGGTTCCTCTGCTTCTTTTCTTTTCTGAAGTTATGGCCAGCCCCACCCACATGACTTTTATTTTATTTCTTTCCAACTGTAAATTGCTGTCCAACTCCTTGGCAACCTGGGTGGCTTACAAAGAAGAAGAAGAAGAAAAGAAGGCATTGTTAGGTTTGAGAGAACCCCTAGATTACAAACATGCCAAACATCAAGAAAGGGTAAACATGGCTTCTTCTGTCCTTCTCAACAGATGAATTCTAAAAAGAAGTCAACCAAAGGAAAGGAGAAGGTATCTGGTACAGATAGGGTTAGTTGACCTTCAGCAACAGAAGGAGTTGTCTTGTTTTTATCCTCATGTCCTTCATCTACTAGGCACAGCCTTAAATTAACATTGTCTGGCTTTTGAATGTGTATGTTTTTTTTAAAAAAAAATAAATAGATTGCTTCTACAATCACACTCATTCAAAAGTCTGTGTATTGTGTATCTTATAAACTGTCTGTTTCTTTCTTTACATTGTCCATCAGCAGATTTGTCAGTCTGGATTTAGGCTATTTAATTTACTCCCTGATTCCATCAGTCACCTTCAATCCAGCCCTTTCCAATCTACACTGCAGTCTTTAGATTACGTGATCCATCACTCATTTCTACAGTGAAATTTGAACAATGTATCAACCATCAATTCTATATTATCACTAGCATGTAGTATTGAAAATAAAGCTTTTCAAGATAAAGATAAGAGCCATGGTGGTGCGGTGTTTGGAACGCAGTACTGCAGGCTACTTCTGCTGCCTGCCCGCTGCCTGTAGTTCAGCAGTTCAAATCTCAGCAGGCTGAAGATTGATTCAGCCTTCTATCCTTCCAAGGTCAGTAAAATGAGGAGCCAGTTTGTTGGGGGCAATATGCCGACTCTGTAAACCGCTTATAGAGGGCTATAAAAGTACTGTAAACCAGTAGATACATCTAAGTGCTATTGCTATTGTTGGAAAAACATTGCAGTTGAAAATCATCTTTCTGATGCTGGAAAATATAAAGTCATATAAGCCTAAGTGCTTTTTTTCTTTGCAGTTTTTCACTGTAATTTATGTCATACATGCCAAGAAAGTTATTCAGTTAGTGTGTCTTTCTCCCCCTCCCATTTGCCTTTCTTTCCAATTGTCTGTGGGTTCCTCTGCCTGTTGAGTTACCTGGTAATCTTATATACATTGGCTGATGTCATTGATTATGTAAGCATTGGGAAAGGGAGACTATTTGTGTATTTCTCTAGGTATATATAATCTTGTAAATAAAAGCCAAGTATGTGTGTGGATAGGCAAACTCTGAAATACTCAGTGCAGGTCACACAGCCGGCTTTCGTGGCTAAGGCAGGACTGGAACTCATGATCTCCTGCTTTCTCTCCTGGTACCTTAACCACTAGATCAAACTGGCTCTCAGATAATATTTAAGGGAAGAATTGTATGAATTTAAAAAACACATTTGATTCATCTTCAGTTTCAGCAATAAACATCAATGCCCATCAAGCCACATTCTCTGAATGCCACAGGTGTGCTGCTGAGTAAGAATTTCTCAAAATATCCATGTTCATCAATCCCAATAAGATATTGCCAAATGAAACCAGAGTATGTGTACACTACTTCCAAACAAAATATACTTGCTCTTGGGAAATGGAGTGTTCCTGCATTCGTCATCGTATGTGGAAATGATGCAACAATGAGAATTAGAATAAATGTTTTGTTTTTTCTTAATGGGAATCCCCTTTCTCTAAAATGTGTCTCTCTGTTTCCAAACATTGTTTTGCTTGTATTAAAAATGTGGCGTTAACCATGCTAATGACTAGCTGTGGAAATAATAACCACATTTTAAAACTGGTTCAAAAATATTGAGGCTATACAAAGGTGGGGGGAAACCTTACAGGCTGAACCCAGGTTTTTTTTTTGTTCTTTCAATTTCCCAATTTTTTTAAAAAAGGTTAGGGTTAAGCTGAAGGCCTTCTAAACACAAGTTAAGCTATAAAAAGCACAAAGTATTCACATCTGCTGTCTTTGGCATGAATAACAATCTGGCCCCTGAAACAGGAGGTGAGAAGTTTGGCATGTGTAGTGGAGCTGTCTATATATTTAGTCTAGGATGCTCCTGGGCACGAAATGTCTTTTAAAGGTTTAGCATGTGCCTAGACTATTAATATGGCGATGAAATCTATGGGTGGAGAAAGGTGGCAAGCCTATTTGGACCACAAGATCAATTAGCATTGTGATTGTCTGCTGGTTCTGCAGCTTATTTGACTCATAAAGAAAAGAGTTTGCTGCAAAAGACTGTTGTAAGATATGTGTATACTTAAGAAACCATGGTTTGTGCTCAAAGGCATTCTGTTAGGGCAGGATGTCAGACTTTGTCCTAGCATAGCTCTCAACAACTGAGTGTTCTGTCACTATGATAACAACAGCTACCAAATTTTTCAACTAGAATTTCACCTTTGGCTATACAGTGTTTCTAGGAGTTGACGTTTCCAGCTAATCTGACATGTGCAACTTCTTTTAGAGACTGGTTTTTTTTTTTTCTGTGTTAGCCCTTTGTTCTGGTTGTGTCCAGGTAGACACTTCTCACAACCACCAATCAAAAGATGCTGTGCTGTTTTCCACTTTGTTTTCCCTTAAGGGATTTTCTGAATTGTATATTTTCAAGTTGCAGGCCATCCCATTGTAAGGCTTATGTGGTGCAGCTGATATTAACCTCTCTGTCCATACTACTATTATTTGACCGGCTTCTAGTAAAAAGAAGATAGGCCTGACAACACTGGAGCATTGTCCCTCAGGGACTTGGTGGTCAGCATTCTCTTTCTGCAAATGCTCATAGAGAACCTCTAGAAAACAAGTCAGCAAGAATGCCCATGGCTTCTTCAGCTGATGCTCAGAATTAAATCTCCTTGTATCAGCAGATGCATCTGAGAAGGATGAAATTTCAGTAGCCCAACTGAACAAACTTAGCCCTTTTAAAGCTGGGAATTGGCATTAGCAACTATTTCTCACACTTCACCCCATGTCTGAATCTTAGGCAGCAGATTGTAGTTATTCTTACAGAATTTCTTGGAAACAGTATCTACAAATGAAGATGAGTAAGTTTCTGGAGAAAAGAACAGCCAAGCTTCCAAGCCGATTGCAAGCACTCCCCTTCTCCAGGGAGGTTTACTTTAGAAATTCTTGTATTGTAACTGGCTGGTGTTTCTATAAAAAAAAATCTGATTTGTTCTGATCTGTCTTATCTGGCAGACTTTGTTCATGCCGAATCTCCTTTTAGTGCTGCTACAAGAAATTGAATTCTTGAATTGAATTGAACCAATTAGCTTTGGTGCTCTACCCTAAGCATCCTTTGCAAGCAAGAAGCCTTCAGTTCAGTAGGATATACCCTCCTCTCACAATTTAACTTCACTTCCATGGAAGGAAGCTCTGTAAGCACTATGGCATCAGAAAGAATACTCAAGTTCTACATGATAAACAGAAAAGCTAGTGGCTTTTATTTCGCCCTTGGGCTGTGCAAAGTAGTATGCAAAGATTGTGAATCAACAAGAACAGTCATAGCCTTCAACTAAAAGTGAAGAGCTTGCAGCACCAAGATTAAAATTTCCCATCCCTCCCAGTAATTCCTACCCACTAAAACAGGGCTGTCAAACTTGCGGCCTGCAGGCTGGATACATCATGTGCTGGCCATACCCATGCCTGGTTTAGAGAAGGGGAAAAATGTCATGATATGTCACATAACAACATGAGTTTGATACCCCTGCACTAGAAGATGTTTTAGTATTGTACTGACCTCTATGCTTTTTCTCCTACCCATTCCCTTTACTTTGTTATTACTTAATTTTTTGGAGATGGGGAAATAAAATATTGAACCCAGAAACATGTTATGGCACAATTCATTTTTGACATTTTCACTTCCAACGATTTCAGTGGCGAGAAAGAGAAACGGGCATTAAACTTTTCTATTGAGTGAAATTAAAGCTTCAGTCCTATTTGGAAAGATGTTACCCTGTTACCATTAGAGGGCTTTCTCATAAGCTGACTCATTTCTCATTTTCCTTTGTATGAAGGTTCCCCGGGCTAAAGCCTTATACAGCTACAGAGGACAAAATCCCGGAGAACTGAGATTCAACAAAGGAGATATTATTACCTTGTACCGTCAGCTGGATGAAAACTGGTATCTAGGAGAAATTAATAGGGTCAGCGGAGTGTTTCCAACAAATGCTGTGCAAATTATCAAACAGTTGCCACAGCCGCCACCACTGTGTCGAGCATTATATAATTTTAATCTGAAGTCCAAGAATAAAAATGAAAAACCAGATTGCCTCGCTTTTCATAAGGTAAGTCAAGCACCCAGCCAGCAAAACTGAAAATATAATTTAAAAATGCCCAGTTACACTTTATGACATGTATTTGATGATATGAAAAACATTGAAATGAATGTGTATAGGGGACATGCCTACTTCCTCAATCCTTTCCTAGATTTTTAAGGTGTACAGTATTGGTGAGCTATGTTTTTGGTAACTGTCTCTAAGTATTTATTTATTTTGAAGCAAAGTCCACTTTTCATTTTAAGTAAACCCAAAGTAAGAGACAATAAAATAAAACAATTATGTCAGTTGACTATTGACTCTCCTCCACAGGGATGGACCACCAAACAAACGTCTTCAATAGGCATCTTTATGTGTCACAGCTCTATCCACTCCTGCTACCTGAGTCTCAGGCATCAGTAGGCAATAGGAAAAGAGTGCTATTTCCATGTTTCTACTGGGACACAAGATATATGAGGAATATATAGAAGAGGTGGTATTCAGCAGGTTCTGACCAGTTCTGGAGAATTGGTAGTTCAGAGAACCGGCAAATACCACCTCTGACTGGCCCTGACCCCATCTATTCTCTGCCTCCCAAGTCCCAGCTGATCGGCTGGGTCTTCTTTTGTTGCCCTGCACCGGAGAAAGGAGCTGGAAAGCAGGTTAGTGGAGTGGGGAGGGAATGGAGATTTTACAGTATCCTTCCCTTGTCACACCCACCAAGCCACGCCTACAGAACCAGTAGTAAAAAAATTTGAATCCCACCATTTTGCTATTGCTTTCTCTCACTAAATGTACTAAGAAGGGACCCAAGTGAATTTCCTCAAAGCTCTCAAATCTTAAGATTTCTTCTTCTCATATAACTATCATCATCATCAGGTCCCCAATGCGTTATATTCATCTCATTCTTGTAATAGTTTTCTTAAGCTATTTTTTAAATTACCGCTTTAGTTTTTTACCTTCTATATTTCTTACAGAGATTGGTAAACTGATTCTATTACATTTGGCAAACCGGTTTGCAGAGACAGGAACAAAAAACTTTTCACACTGGTGATTTATTGTACCACCCAACTATTGCTGTGGTGAGATGAAACCTGTCTACTACATCTGTGATATATTGCGGTAGGAATGGTTGGATGACACTATAAATTGCTAGTGCAGAAATGCTGATTGTCATCCTGCAGCAACCCACTGGCCAACTCTGTGATGCAGATGAATGACATGACGGCCTCTCTGTATATCAAAATGCCATTCCCTTCCAATATAAACAATTAAATATAACCATAACTGTAGCCAGTTGCTCCTTGCCAGCAATTCATATTTACCACATTAGATTTAGCTTGATCTTTAGCTTTGTAATATGGTAGATTTCATGTTGATAATATACAATAATAGTAGAAGGTTTCAGAACAGGGAACATAAGAACCTTGCAAGCAATGTGTCGAATGAAACCTTAAAGGAAAATGGTTTACAGTGTACATCAGAAAACAGATGCTAGTGATTTCTAGCATCTTGTAGTACCATCCAACTATCTCTGTGCTGATAGAACAGTAACAAAGATAGGCTTTTTATTGCCAATGTCATGGTTGGATTATGCTAGAAGATGCTATAAATCACCAGTGAAAAAACAAAATAATCTAGGCATCACAGAACCCTCAATTCCATCCCCTAAAGCACACTATATTTATCCTGTGAATATCTCTGTTGTTCCATTGCTCATAGTAAGCATAACATAATATGGCCACCTAAGCATGGGTCTGTAGCATCAGGGAGCTGACAAAAGATGCACATTGCAAGGTAGAATAACAATGTGCTCAAAAAGAAAGAAGGAGGGAAGTTTCTATTTCAGATATTGGAGGGGGGTCAAAGTGAATAATGAAACCAGACTACTCTTAAGCATGTTTCTGTATTACTGCATTGAGATTATAGTGGAGCTGGCTTGTGAGAGAACTACAGGAACATGGCTCTGAACAGCCAGTTGTGATCATTCATTGCCTGAGACATGGAAGAGCCAGCTGTGAGTGCCGGCTTTCATTGCCGCATCTGCTGCTGCTCATTTCCTCGGTATAAACCCTTTTATAAAAAGAGGCTTTTTACATCACTGCATGCACAATGAGGAATCACAGAGAGAGGCCATTTGTTTTGTTTACTGCAAACATTGTCTGGATTGCATGCCATCTGGTTTGGGGTCTTTTCCTTTTTAAAAACGTTGCTGGAGACAAAGCTCATCTGCTTTTCTGCACCTTAGAATGCTGAGATTTGGGGGTGTCATGTAAAGCCCTTGACATATTATATAAAGCTTGAGATTTTGGGCTTGGACAACCTTGAACTACACCGCCTGTGGTTAGACTTAAGCGTAGCACACAAAATTATCTGCTACAATGTCCTACCAGTCAATGACTACTTCAACTTCAACCACAACAATACAAGAGCACACAACAGATACAAACTCAATGTTAACCGCTCTAAACTTGATTGCAGAAAGTATGACTTCAGCAACAGAGTGGTCAATACCTGGAATGCACTACCTGACTCTGTTGTTACATCCTCAAACCCCCACTCTTTTAACCTCAAACTATCCACTATTTACCTCACTCCATCTGTAAGAACCAGCTCCTTGCCCAAGATATGGTTACAAGCCACAGTCATTCCCATCTTCAAAAAGGGAGACCCAAGCCTAGTTGAAAATTACAGACCAATCTCCTTATGCTGCGTCACCTGTAAAGTCATGGAATCAATTATTAACCAATCCATCATCCTCCATTTAGAGACAAACAACCTACTCTCCAACAAACAATTTGGTTTCAGAAAAAAACTATCCTGTAATCTGCAACTCTTACACTGCAAAAACATATGGACGACACAACTCGACCAGGGCAAAGCAATAGACGCAATCTACATAGACTTCTGTAAAGCCTTTGATTCAGTGGTACACGACAAACTACTCCTAAAAATAAAATCTTATGGTATCTCTGGACAACTGAATAACTGGATAGAAGCATTCCTGTCAAACAGACAACAAATGGTCAAAATCGGGAGCGTACTATCAAATCCAGTACCTGTCAATAGTGGTGTTCCCCAAGGCAGTGTTCTAGGACCAACTCTCTTCATACTCTACATAAACGACCTCTGTGATCATATTAAGAGCAATTGCGTTCTCTTCGCTGATGATGTAAAGCTGTTCAATACCACAGACAATACTGCTACCCTACAAAAAGATCTTGACTATGTATCCGAATGGTCAAACAAATGGCAACTTCAAATCTCAACAAATAAATGCTCTGTCTTACATATTGGCAAAAAAAATCAGAAAATAAAATACAAGCTGAATAGTCAAGATCTTGTTGATGACCCAAGCTCTGTAAAGGACCTTGGAATACTCACCTCTAATGATCTAAGTGCTAGAGCACACTGCAACTACATAGCCAAAAAGGCATTAAGAGTTGTTAACCTAATCCTACGTAGTTTTTTCTCTGGTAATATCACACTACTAACCAGAGCATACAAAACATTTGCTAGACCAATACTCGAATACAGTTCATCAGTCTGGAACCCTCATTACGTATCTGATATTAGCACAATTGAGAAAGTCCAGAAATATTTCACAAGAAGAGCTCTCCACTCTTCTACTCGTTGTAGAATACCTTATGCCACCAGACTTGAAATTCTAGAACTAGAAAACCTTGAATTACGCCGTCTTCGGTCTGACTTAAGCATGGTATATAAAATCATACATTGCAATGTCCTACCTGTCAATGAATACTTCAGCTTCAACCATAACAACACAAGAGCACACAATAGATACAAACTCAAAGTAAACCGCACCAAACTTGATTGCAGGAAATACGACTTCAGCAATAGAGTGGTCAATGTCTGGAATACTCTACCCGACTCTGTAGTCTCTTCCCCAAACCCCAAAAACTTTAACCTTAGACTGTCTACCATTGACCTCACCCCTTTCCTAAGAGGTCTGTAGGGGGCGTGCATAAGCGCACCATCGTGCCTACCGTCCCTGTCCTATTGTTTCTCTTATTCTTTTATTTTTCTTATATGTACCCATTTCATATATTCACAACTATGTATACACTTGTACTTATTATCTTGTAAACAATTGACAAATCAAATAAATAAATAAAAATAAATAAATAAGGGGCGTGTATAAGTGCACCATTGTGCCTCCCATCCCTGTCCTATTGTCCCCATTTATCCGTACCTATTTCCTGTATTCTTACTCATGTTTATACTTATACCTATTATCTTGTAAGCGATTAACAAATCAAATAAATAAATAAAATAAAACATTTGTGCAAAAGAAGGAAATGTACCTCTAAGGCTGAGGATAGATTGGTAGGTGCTGAAAAGTGGTTTGCCCTGCCATTGTCAAGGTTTACCAGTAAAAAATATGACCATACTATCAATTTTCAGACATAAAGGAAGATACAGTCTTCACATGCACATTAAACAAATCACACATCTATTTCACCAGCAAATTATACTTGTATAATTTAGCATATTCTAGTGACACTATTTCTACCTGTAACCTTACAATACAGGTAGTCCTTGACTTACAACAGTTCATTTAGTGACCATACGAAGTTACAACACCACTGAAAAGATGGCACTAAATTATGATTTATGTCCATTTTTCACACTTACGACTGCTACAGCATTCCCGTGCTCACGTCATCAAAATCCAGGATTTATGACCGTTGCAGTGTCCCCAGGTCCTGTGGTCCCCTTTTGCAACTTTTTGACAAGCAAAGTCGATGGGGAAGCCAGATTCACTTAACAACCATGTTACTCACTTAACAACTGCAATGGTTTGCTTAACGACTGTGGTCATAAAAAGGTCCTAAAACTCACTTAACAAATACCTTGCTTAGCCACAGAAATTTTGGGCTCAATTGTGGTCACATGTAGAGGACTACCTGTATGACATCCTTTTCAACATATTTGTCTGAAATATTAATATGGATTTCATTTATTTCAGTTCTACCCTTTCTGTCCCATACAAATCTCTACAATAGTCCTTCCAGTATTCAATTCACTTCTGCTTCATCACAAATCATTTAATCACTTTTTCCTAACCTTCTGATAAACATCTTGTTTTAGACTTCCTCACACATTTCAAAAATATTTGTTTTAATTTTCATCAGAATCATTGTGCATTTTCTCTGTATCTCTGAATCTTAACTATTCCCCTTTTTGTCTCTGATTACATTCTCTTTCACCTATGTTTGAATGTGTGTGTCATATTAATCATTCTTTTACTTCATCATACCACCATGCAACCTTTGTCTTGTTTCCCATAGAATAACTCCACATACTTCTACAACACTCTATACCACAATCGTTTTTACTCACATCCAAATAGCTTCTGTATCACCATCTTTTATTCATTTTCCATTCATTCAGCTGATAGCTAAATCTATCTACAAACCCCTCAAAATCCAAATCAATTGCACAGCCAACCAGAGACCATCTAAGACCCATCACAGGATGCCTACTGATGACTCACATCTAACCATCACAAAGACCCTCACTTGACACACCCACACTCGAAGCCATTATAAGCAGAAGAACACTGACAGTGACATTCCCTAAACTCTGCTGAAGATGTTACCTACCCAGGTAACGAAATGTGCAAAAACCAAACCACAAGCTCAGAAAATGAATCTTCACACACACACACACACACACACACACACACACACACACAAATCTATCTTGTTTATGATAAAATATTGAGGCATGTAATGTGTTGAAATGCTCAAATATTATTTCACTTTATGCATATATGTTAGAATTATGCTATCAAGCATAAACAACTACCCTGGTTAGTATCTATGATTCTTATATTTCAGGGTGATATAATCACTATGATCAGTCGAATGGATGAGAATTGGGCAGAAGGAAAGTTGGGTGACAGAATAGGAATTTTTCCAATCTTGTTTGTGGAGGTAAGAACAGTTTACTGAACGTTCTATGAATATATACACATACCACACAATCTCGCAGAACATTCTTTGTCAGCACATTTGATCGTGGCTTGTGCTTTCAATCTTGAGAAGAGAAAAGGCTATCCTTGAAATCCATCAGATGGTTGTTTAAAGTGAGCTAACATACCCATCAATTGACAGACAACAAGAAATTAAAAGCAATTGGAAGCCTCACTAGTGAGGAATTGGAAATAGTGAGTGGAACAAAATAATCTTGCCTTTAAAAGTTTATAGTATATGCTGTGTACAGAAAAGGCTACTAAAGGAGCTAAGGCTGGTAATAATGGACTCATCAGGGTATATATGTGTGTGTAGACAGTCTGAAGCTCACCACTAATAAGACTGAGTGGCTGTGGATCACACAGAACTCTGCTATCTTTAATTCTGAAAGGGTTTCCACTTCTCCATTCAAAGTTAATGCACCATTTGGGAGTTTTCCTGAACTTACAGCTCCTGCTGAAGCATAGGTAGTGGTAGCCAGGAAGGCCTTCACACTGATTTATTTTTTCAACAATTGCCTGTTTCTGGATTGGGAAGCCTTCCATACAGTGTTGGGCTATCTTTGAAAGCCATTCAGAAGCTGCAGCTGGTCCACCATAAGCATGTGACGGTATATCCATATACAGATTTCTGTTGAATGGCTACAGTAGTTATCTGTAAGCTTACAGGTACATTTCAAGGTGCTGAGTATCACCTTCAGATCAAAAGGGCTCGTTATCTAGAAACCACCTCTTTCCTACTTTTCTGCCCATTCTGTTCATTCCAACAGAATTGGTATGATTTCAGGTCCCATAGATTAAACTCTGCTACCTGATGGAACTTAGAATGTGATCTTTCTCTGTCACAGTTCCTGCTCTACATGAAACAGCAACAAACACACCCCAGATTTGTATGTCCCCCCCCCCCCTTGGCCTCATTCAAACTAGCCCTCAAGAACTCTGAGTTAAATTGTATGGTGGCACTTTCTGAAAATGCTATAGGTTAAGAGGGTGTTGTCAACTCATAAAACATTCCTATGCCTGTTTTAGTAGTTGCCATAAAAAGGGAGGGAAAACAAAAATACATTCCAACCCTTATCTTTAAAAGATTGTAACTAAAATACCAGAGTTTTTGCCCAAGAATATATTTAATTGGAGAACATGAATGATGACACCCAGCCTGTGAACGTGCTCAATTGAAGAATCTGGTTTATGAGACACCCAGGGGGGAAACAGGTCACAAATGACTGTAAATTACGTATGCCAGAGTTGGCTTCATACAGGGCAGTACCAGTATGTCACCTCTAATGAATTCTTTGAAGTTTATTGAAGTTTGGCTCAAGAATCATGATTTAAATAGAGCAATTGCTGTAATCCTGACAGGTGTTAGTTTTATTCTTTCTAAGTGTTCACTATCCTCCTTTTGTTACTACTGTTAATTCAATTTTTAAAAGTATTGTATGCCACTCAGCATCACTAGAGAGTTGAATGGCTTTGCACATGTGGCAAAACATCAATAAGATTGTTAAATAAGCCATGACTTGGCACCGTGGGTAGACCCAGTCTGCCATTCCACACACAAGTCAGCATATTGCTAGAGATACCTAATCAAGCCATTCCTGGAATTTCAGTTCTGCAACTTAAAATGTTTGGATTGCTATCAAGAAAGTCACATCTCTTTTCTCCCTCCTGTTCCTTTTCCAGCCAAATACAACAGCACAGCAACTTCTTCAGAGGAGCAAAAGTTACCAGTCTTCTCCCTTGAAATGTGCTTCTCCTTTACAAAGGTTCTTACCTAGATCAAAAGGTGTAGAGTCACCCACTTTTGGCAAAGGATCTGAATCTAGAAGGAAGACGATGAGACAATTCTCTATTACAACTGCCCTAAACACCCTAAACAGGATGGTCCATTCACCCACAGCAAGGCAAACTTTGGATATCAGTTCTCCTGTGCTCATCAGTTCTAGCAACCCTTGTGTCACTGCAAAGCACCAAGAGAAATTAGAAGCCCCATATAACATACCAGACCAGGTAGGTGCATTGGTTTTTCCCCCCCTTTTCTTTCATGATTTTGTTCTTTCTTCCCCCACCCCATTATCTCTATTGCATGCTGCTCATAAGGAAAAGGTAAGTGAACAAACAATAGACTTCAGCGTAGGCACTCTAAGGATGTGGTTTTGCTTACCAGGCAGCAAATTGAAAAGCAAACGGAAAGAGGGATTAATTCTGGCTTCTAAAAAAATTCTCTCTCATGCTCTACTGTGCAACAGATGAAAGAAGCTGGGGCCAACTCATCGGATTATCTCAAATGAGGCCCCGGACATTGTTCATTGTTGTAGTTTAATTTAGTCTTTACCAAAGTTTACACATCAAGTTTATTTTTCATTTGTAAACCTTTGTGAGCATTCTTTCCAACTTGAAGTGCTTGAAATGTAAAAGGGTAAAATGTAAAAGGCAATGAAATGGATTGAAATGAAGACACATAGTTTAATAAAGTCAAAATGAAAAAAAAAAAGATTTTTTTGAAAATGAACAAAAATGAAAAATGAAATGCCATTACATAAAAACTTTCTAGAGCAGAAGAGGGGCCCTCTACATCTAGTCCACAACCCTCCATCCTTTTTTGGTGGAGGGAGGTTTGGGCCCTTACACCCCTAGCAGTAGCACCAAAATTTATCTGCAAACTGATAAATAATGAGTGCATAATTTTATGATTTTCTGCAGGGAAAAAATCCAAGCACTTTAAATGTCAGAAATCTGCAAGAAAATGAATAGGTTTATTAACGTCTGATATCTCCTGTAGGACAGTGATGCAAAAATCTGCTCTGATGTCCAATCACTGCTATGCAGTCATGGCCATTGGCTGCAAGAGGTTTAACCTTCTCTATTCTAGAGAATAGATACTATTTCTAAGAAAGTTTCAGTGGGTGTTCTCTATAGCTTACCTAAGTAAATCTTACATCGCAAGAAATGGTTTTATTCATTTGGAAAATTGAAGTTATTGTATACGGTGCTATATGTGCTCTATTTTCCAAATTAATCAAGAAATTTTGTACAAGCTATATAAAATCAGATAATTTACAAGGCAATATCCTGAATTTATAAAATTAATTTCTTTTGTCCTAATAAAAAGCACTAGTCAATATAACCCATTAGCATATCATGTTCTTATTTCTTTGGGTGGATGAACTAAACCATTATACTATCCATCGGCTTAGTTCTTAGGTCACTGAATCCACACATTATATATTAAAATTACCTAATACATTTTAGAAATTGCACAAGAATAGGATTGGTGGTCTTGAAAAACTGCAGAGATGAGATGGGACCATATGAGTCATTCCCATGCCTTTGCTTGGGTTCAAGGATTATAGTCTAAAGAATGATAGGCATGGCTAGTTTTGAAAGCATTAATCATCTATTTGGAAAGAGGATCCCAGATTCAATTTCCCAAATAAACAATTACTTAGAGCAGGCTTATCTTATGTGATATGTGTATGCTTCACACAAATGCCAGCAATGTGCACCTGTAAGAAAAGGAGGGGACAAATGACAAAACATGCATTATAGTGTTACAATGAAAACCCAGTGATGTCGGTTTCTGAATGCAATAAATGAATATCTGGAGTTTGCATTGTGACGCCACAGAATAGATGTCATTATTTTTTCATGATGGTTTATAGCTAATGCCTGTAATCTCCAGGCTCCCTGTTGAGCTATTTTCAGGGACAATGATCAGCTAAAGCATTAATATGTTCTAGTTGAAAGAGCCATTTGTCAGTGGTATCAACTATTACATTTTCTAATTTTGAATTTTATTTTAAAAGGCCAATAATACAAATGACTGTTTGGAATTCTGAATTTTTACTATATCCTTCCAATTTTAGAAAACTTCAATGGGCATGAATACCATTGAAAATAGCAAAATAGTATTTTATACATACTATTTTACACATACTTATTCTCTAAGTCTTGCAGAACCAACTCACTTTTCTGGAGCTACATATAAAGTTTACTTGACTATGAACAGTGACATTAACAAACCCAAGGGTTACTCATTCTTCTGCATTAGCACTGAGATTTAATTCTTAAAACCAGCAGGCAATGTTAATGAAGATTAAAGATGGTTAAGATATATATCAGACTAAGCAGTAAAATGTAGAGAAGTAAATCACTAGCATTAAGCCTGTCTATAAGACACAAAGTCTCTTCCAAAATAAGGCAGTTTCTTTGCTTCTATTATAATGGAAGGGTCTGTCTCATGAGTCTTTAAAACCAGTCAGGGAGGAATAAAAAGTAAGGATTAATTCACTTTATTCCTGCATATTTGTTACTCAGCAAGATTTGGAAGAATGGAAAGAGACAGAAAAGATCTTTGAAACAAGCCAATCCAGTATGGCCTGAAGCATTTGTTTGTCAGAGTCATTAGCTGCACTTAACCAGACTTGACTGATGTGATCTGTGTTCAGATTTGTTCAGAAATTAGCAAGAAACCCCAAAGAGTCATTTAAAGTGAGAAGCTGGAAAAAAAATTCCCCGTCAGAGAACAGTGGCAAACCACTTCATATTGTTAGCAAGGGTCAAATTCAGTTGACCTCAGACTTTCATTGCCTTATTGGTACTATTTGATCGTTTCTATTTTCTGAAACATAAGTTCCAGGACAACTCCAGAGTACTCTTTTGCTTAAAAAGTGGAACCTGTGGAGATTGAAGGGATTATTTCCAGGAGTTGAGGAAGAAGGATTGGAGGTTACAAGTAGCGAGTAGATTGCCCATTAAGGGTAGATACAGTGGTTACCACTGAGTGGAACTCCACATTGAGTGGTACTTGCCTGGTTAAATGTTGCTACAGAAGGCAGATATGGATATACTACTAGAATTTGAGTCATCTGCAATAGGTTAGCCATATGTTCCATCCCTCAGTTGTTTTGGAACAGTTCCCTCAACCATTGCCTCAAAATAAAATTTGTCCTACTACTTTGAAGTGGAATAATAAAATAAAATTTGTCCTACTACTTTGAAGTGGAAATGGGTCCTTTTAATTCACCATTGCTCCCAATCCATAAATGAGTATTGCTTAGGGTAAATAGTAAATAGATTTATACTTAATATAGGATATATTAACAAACCAAGTAATAGAGAATGAAAGCTAGCTCATTATTGAAAACAAATAATATTCTAAAGCTCCTTGTAGAGTTGGCATAAAGGCACATCATTTTCTTACAGCCAGAGGCTGCTGAAAATGTAAGAAATGATGTCAGAACATCATCAGAGTTTGCAAGCTCCACATCCTTCTTTTTGTTTGTTTTTTTGAAATGGAGGGATTAAGAGGCAATATATAATTATCCCAATTGGGAAGATTGTAGGGTTTAAGGGCTAAACTCTATACATTAGATTGCATCTTAGCTTCCCCAAAACCTTTAAAACAATTCTTCCTCCTATATTCCGGAGATTCTAAGCCATAAAATAATCTAGGGATATATGCCATCTGTAGGACACAGGACTGTTCACTTGCATATATAGTGTATATATCCTTGCTTATGCTCATATTGTTTTTATATCCTTCATATATTAACCAGTTATCTCTCTGATAATTTTCAACTATTTCCCTGTTGTTTTTCAATTGCCGTTTGTAGTTTCATGCTGTGCTAATCTTGATGCAGACTACTTAAACGCACACAGTAATTTACATCATTTCCAAGCTTAACCATGCCAAATGATTCAATATAAAGATCCTAATAGAAAAGAATATGTATAGCTCAGAGTTGAATTGTGAAGTTCTTGGGCCTCTCAAAGGTTGTTTGCTTGCAGATGTTTCATTACCCAGATAGGTAACATTATCAGTGCTGATGCATGTGGGGTTTGTACTCTGTTTATGTACAGTGGCTTGCCCTGCCAATGTTGGTGGGGGTGTGGTTTTCTCCTTAGTAGTTCCTTAATTAGGGTAATGTTCTCTGCTTGATTGTTTGTCTGGTGTTAATCCCTGCTTGTCTGGGTGTGGGCTGGTGGAGAGGATGTGTGCTGGTCGTTTTATTTCCTTTTTAGCTTGATTATATAGACATTGCCTTTAGTGTCAAGGCATATATTTTTGTTTGTGTATATTTTGACTATTATGGAAATATCAAACGTCTATATCTAATGAAATATCTAATATATATTGACTACTATGGAAATATCTAATGAATCTATTTATATTTATGAAAATAATGGCAGGACCCTATAACCGAGAAAGACATGTAGTGTGACTTCAGAGCAATCTCCTTTATTGTTCTTGAACTATCTTGCAAAACTACAGCAGTTGCTTGCATCATTAAAGATGTACTCTGAGAATCTCTGGGAAGAGAAGGCTCTTAATTCTCTTTCTCCCAATCAAAAGATCCGTCTTGGTCCTCTGGAATGCAGCCCCTCCCTTCTTGGAATCAGCACCACATTCCACTACAATAGCTATTTCTATTTCAATCTGTTTCCATATATCTTGTCATTATAATATATAACCCTCTGGGATACTGAAATTGGAGACTCTGGCTCTTTATTGCCAGACATCATCTTCAAGAGATAATGTCCTCTAAATCAGGGATCCCCAACCTTTTCGACGCCGCGGCCCGGTTCCGGCGTCAGCTGGGCGCCGCCATCTTTTTTTGACGAAAAATCACTTCCGGTGATGTCACCGGAAGTGATTTTTCGTCAAAAAAAATGGCAGCGCCAGCGCTTCTGGTGAGCTTTTTCGGGTAGAAATGGCTTTCTACCCGGAAAAGCTCACCCGAAGCGCTGGCGCCGCCATCTTTTTTGACGAAAAATTGCTTTTTTTACCAAAAAAAGATGGCGGCGCCCAGCAACCAGCGGCCCGGTAAGGCTTGTTCCGCGGCCCGGTACCGGTCCGTGGACCGGCGGTTGGGGACCCCTGCTCTAAATAATGCAATGGTCATTCTCTCTGACCAAAAGGCATTTGAAAGCAAGATGATACCAGTCTTGGGATGCCTGACAAGAATAATAATAATTTTTTTTAAAAAAAAAAAACATTGATAAGATGT